AATCCAATTTCTGATCTAAAACCTAGTGGTGAGGATATTGTTGACAACAATATACCTGCTATCTCATCAACCATGAATAATGATAACCAGTCTCGCCAAGTGGTTAATGAACCAAATATTCCATTTCGGAATAAACGCAAAGGAAAACATAAAGTCATTCCCAACTCTGATGACTTTTTTGATAATAATGTAACTTTCACCGTGAATAATGACCAATCAACCAACACCCTTCAAGCTCAAAATGCCCAAAATGAGGACGAGAGTAAAAATGCTACCAAAGAACATGTTCATATCGTAAGTGATCGGGTCACCGACGTGGATTCTAATACAGAACGACGCCTTACCAATATGGATCCGATTCAGGCTAGTTCAAAAGTTAGGACGCGTGAGAATGATTTAGAACGAGAACGACAAGATTTTAAAAAAGTGAAATTGATAAATGATTTTGAAGAACAACAACCTACTAAAACGACAGCCATTCCGGTTCAGCCTAAATTAAAGGATTTTAGGATGCGGGAGCATGAACTAGATCGAGAACGACACGCTGTTAAAAAAGTGAAACTAGCAAATCATTCTGGTGAAGATTCAAGAATTCAGCACGGTTCTACATCACAAAATGTTGGCAATCCTTCTACCCAAAATACGTCTTCTATTTTAGTAGAGGGCATCAAGAAGAGTTTTTCCATGTTTAGAAGCTTCCTCAAATCTGATGAAGTTACAGAGAATAAAGTCGTAGAAATCATTTTTCATGTACACTTACCTACGAGCTTTCGTTCAGAGAATCCTGTTATTGTTGGTAGTATAGAGGAACTTGGTAATTGGCAAGAACCCAAAGTTAAACTTCAGCAATATACCAAAGGTATTTCGGAACCTACTTCTTATTGGTATTCACAACCTATTTACATCCCAATCGAAAGATTTCAACAAAACGGTGTCGGATATAAATATGCAGTATATTCGGACGATTGCTTACGATTGGAAGGTGACGGCACGGAGGATAATCGTGTGCTGGAAATTCAACGTCAAAAATTTGATATTTGGAAAAGTAATTCAACTTATAGTATAAATCAAATCACTGATTATATGTTTCTAGATGTCATTTATGATTCCGTAACATCAGAAAACATCAAGGAGATTATTTTATATTATGATGATATCCTAAAACAGTATCGTAAATTAACCTTATCAGTAACGAATGTTCAATTTATTAGCAAACATGTATCTGAAAATTCTATTGGTAGACGGCTTTTCTTATGCTTCCTTTTGGGACATTGTTCTAATTCTCGCGTGAGATTTGAATTGCCAGGAAACTTTCAATCGGTTCCTTTGCTTCAAGCTTTTATCAATGTTCAATCAGAAACATTTCCAGCTGATAGTTGGCATATTGTGTTTAAAGGAATTGATCATTTAATTCATCACAATATTAATCATGGATTATTCGATTGGCTTACCTTCTTTACCGTTGCACGAAATTTCGATCCTCAACTTAAGTTCATTGACACATTAACTTTTGTTAAATGTGACGATGACAAATATATCGAAAAGTGTTTTGGAATTTTACTGAATCATAAATTTGATAAAAATACTCGTGGAAAAGTATTCAAGGTAAATTTTTTTTTTTGTCATATCCTTATATTATTCTCTTTCTGATCGTATTTATTAGTCAATCATATTAATAAATTTTTTTTTTTAAAAAAAAATTATGACTAGTGGATGATGAATCAATGCAAAAACTTGAAGATTTTATCAATCGTTTGGCGATCTTCAGATAAAATTGACAAGCAATGTTTGGTAGAAAATGTTGAAAAAATTATATCTAAAGATGACCCTGTAGATTTGCATAAAAAGTTCACCGAGCTTTCTGATGACATTAGAGATATGGTCGTCGACCAATTTAGGAAGAGGGTACTTAAATTATTAACCAATGGTCGTCGTGCTATTTGGGATGACTCAAAATCCCAAACGATCTTTGATCTCTTAACTTCTGTACAACTACGGTGGACGAAAGATGAATATATTGTTGTGTTGGAGTTAGTGTCGACCTTAGAAGATTATCAACTATTAGACGGATTTCCGTCATTATTAAAAAATTGGATC